AGTCCCTCGAAAATCTGAAAGGACTTCCCCTCTCAATGGCCCCTGAGGTTCTGCCAATATGGGAGGTCTATTGGCATCGGTCACAACTTGATGGAACGTATTGCCGACCTCTTCAACGTCGCATGTAGGATCCGGTTGTGCTCGGGTACGGCCTGTAAGGCTGTTGATGAGCTGCCAGAGCTTACGAGGGTTTGCAGATGCAGATTGACATGTCTGATGAAAATACGAGTTTCGTTTGCGCCGAATCGCGTTAGATGCCTGCGTCCGAGCCAGTTTGAATGCACTGTGAAGTGCCATATCTTCGGGGTTCCGGAGCCAGCGCGTGTGCAGCCTATTCCGTGTCCTGATGAGTTGATACGTCTCACGGTCGGACCATGGAGGTAGAGGCTTGCGGCGCGGTGGTACAGTCTTCATTGGAGCATACCTGTCCAGGACAGTCATAAAGCGCAAGTGCCAATCATGCCACGTATCATCCACGCTTGACGACTGTGGAAGGGAAGGGAAATGCTGAAGTTCTTGCTCCAGAGCGATTCTGAACTCAGGGATACTTATATTCCGAATCCGCCTGGCCTGCTTCGATTGAGTCTCTGCACGAGGAACTGAAATGTTCAGGTTGGCGAGCACAGCGCTGTGATCACTGATCAGACAAGGTATCACCCTGCAGCTGGATACCATCTTCCTGTCCGTGAGGACAAGGTCAATAAGGGTGCCTTTCGGCGTACTTGGAGTGATGCGCGTCACTGCATCCACGCAGTTGGTTAAAGGGGAAGTGCATCGATTTTTCAAGTAGGGCTCAGATGAAAGACAATTGGATATCGGTTCCGATGGTATATCTCTCGCTTGCGTACGGCAAGGGAAACTTGCCATATCGCCGATTTCCTGATCCCGTTTCCATGGCGACTACAGGTGATGACGCACATTCTGCTTAGCTCCGTGAGAGAGAAGGTCGACCACTGCAGAATTGTGTCATTTTCAGTAGTCTTCTTGTATTCACGAAGTGAAAGAAGTACTGTGTTCAATGCTGTTAGTGCCGTGAACTGTTTATTAGTAGTCCTCTCTCTCCGTTGTGTACTGGGACGTGACACCGACAGGGGAAAGCTGGAGTGCGGAGACGTTAGCTGGCAAGCGAAAATCGTGACGAACCAAGTGCTGAAATCTTGGTTGGGACAAATCAAACGTTCAACATTTACCTCAACCAAGGACCATGCCGTTTGCTCTTTCCACTTCCTGAAGATGGATGCGCTGCCTGCTGGAGACTCTCCCATCTCTCGTAACATCTTCTGAAGCCAGGTGAGACGACGAGTAGCGGAGATTAGCGAACGAAATCAAGTAATGTCGTATGTTTTGAAATTTTGTTGCTCAGGAGAGATGGCATTATATGAACTTAGTCCATGTGAACTCAATCAGCCCATGAACTAACCCATGAACAAATGCTTTCCTTGCAGACGTGCATGTGTCTATCCAATGTACACGTAGAGATCATTCCATGCCCTCAGTGAATGGCCTATTTATATAATTATTATTTGTCCATACACTTCATCTGCATGTTGTCTCTATGGAGAAGGTTATTGTTCATTTCATATGAAGAAGTTCGGGCAATAGATGCTTTCCTCTGGTACAATTCTGTTGACCTGATGTTCTTTCTAGCTTCATGGGTAGCTTAGGTGAGGTACCATCACCATCATGTTTACATGAGGGTCAAACACTGCACCGTTCTTTGTTGTGACATGACGTAAGTTATTGTAAGTGCTCGCAGACTCCATACATTCCAGCAACACCTAGCATGGTTTTCCGTCAACGTTGTGGGTGAACAAATTCCTGTCCAACATATTTATACAGACATGCCAGCACACACCATGCCCAATACACACACTTGCCCTGCCCTGTCGAGTCACAGCCACGTGGGCCCAGAGGGGCAGTGGAGAGAGAATGGGAGAACGCCGCCCCATGGCGCCCGGGACACAAAAACAAGAGTTTGTCCGGCTACGTAGGGAGCAACACACATACATATACATACACCACACACACACACACACACACCTTGACCTTTGACGCCCCATCTCCAGTGGAGATGATAGGCTACTGAGTTGGGCAGTACTTGATGTGACGCTTCAAATCGCCACTTCTCCTAAACGCTCTGCCGCATGCGCAATGAAAGTCCTTCGGTGCCGGGGGAGGAAGACGATGTTGATGAACCCGCCTGCGCCATTCCGGGCGATCTTGTGCGAGCCGATACCACTCGGACTCCGGAATATCCAGCGAGCGCAGATCACCGACAATCGTGTCTCGCCAACGCTTCTTTGGCCCATGCCGTGGTCTGGTTGCTTCAACCAGACCACACACACACACCCACACACACACACACACAAAATGAGAGTTCGGGTCATCTGCCACGAGACAGACGTACGGCCGGGGAGAGCTTCAGCAGCGGTGTCTATTCCTGTCCTGGACCGAACGGAAGCAGCGGTCGCGGGACACACAGTATTCACCACAACACGGCTCCACTGTCGTTGGGGGCTGAGCCACACACTTGTGACGGGCAAGAACGCCACAGCTAAGAAAGCAACGCCACAGCGATCACACTGGCATGCTCCACGCTCCTCCTGCACACACTCTCTCCCTCTCCCTCTCCCTCTCCCTCTCTCTCTCTCTCTCTCTCTCTCTCTCTCTCTCTCTCTCTCTCTCTCTCTCTCTCTCTCTCTCTCTCTCTCACACACACACCCACACACACCCACACACCCACACACACACACACACACACACACACACACACGTGCGCACATACTGCAAGAAAGAAAGAGAGCATGAGTGTCAGATTCTTGCATAGGAAGTGTTTATCAGCACACACTTATACATGCACATGCAGGCACTCAACGACCAACTATGCACCATGCCGTATGTTCGTCAAACATAAGATTGCAATACCAAAGAACAACATAAACAAGATCACTTACTTCGTTCTCCTCCAAGTGTGTCCTCCCCAGCCATTTCCCTAGGCGGAATGTAGCCTACGAAATGGTTTCTCTAGACTAGGAGAAGATGCTTGGTATTCGCCATCTCTCCTGAGAAATGTTCAGCAAAAATTTCAAAACATACATTATTTCGTTCGCTAATCTCCACTACTTGTCGTCTCACCTGGCTTCAGAAGATGTTACGAGAGATAGGAGAGTCTCCAGCAGGCAGCGCATCCATCTTCAGGAAGTGGAAAGAGCAAACGGCATGGTCCTTGGTTGAGGTAAATGTTGAACGTTTGATTTGTCCCAACCAAGATTTCAGCACTTGGTTCGTCACGATTTTCGCTTGCCAGCTAACGTCTCCGCACTCCAGCTTTCCCCTGTCGGTGTCACGTCCCAGTACACAACGGGGAGAGAGGACTACTAATAAACAGTTCACGGCACTAACAGCATTGAACACAGTACTTCTTTCACTTCGTGAATACAAGAAGACAACTGAAAATGACACAATTCTGCAGTGGTCGACCTTCTCTCTCACGGAGCTAAGCAGAATGTGCGTCATCACCTGTAGTCGCCATGGAAACGGGATCAGGAAATCGGCGATATGGCAAGTTTCCCTTGCCGTACGCAAGCGAGAGATATACCATCGGAACCGATATCCAATTGTCTTTCATCTGAGCCCTACTTGAAAAATCGATGCACTTCCCCTTTAAGTCGAAGGTGCAGCACAGGCTCTGTCGATGGGTTCGCTGATGATTGGGGTGATTTGCGGACAAGTCCACATTGAAATCCCCCAACAAAGTTAAAGACGTGGCTGAAGAGCCAGCACTATGCATGGCACTTTCTAAATCAGTCCAAAACTCCACGGATGTGTCAGGGGGCCTGTAGGCGCAGCCGACACGGTGATGCTGTCGATGTATCTGTACGTCAACCCACACCAGCTCTAAGCCGCTTACGCTTAGATCTGGGCGCGGTTTGATTGGCAGGGTGGATTTGTAATAGATACACGTGCCGCCACCTCGCCTGCCGCTGCGATCGGTCCTTGTGAGGCTGTATCCAGAAATAGCTACTTCTCCGTCACCAATAGTGCTGTCCAGCCAGGTTTCGGCCAATCCAAAAATATCAAAGTCCTGCACCCGGAGGAGTGCCGTTACTTCATCTACTTTGTAGCGCAAGCTACAGACATTCAAAAAACCTAGTTTAAGCGTTCGGGTATCCTGGGTGCTCACCGGAAAACTGATGGTGGCAGCTCGTGGAGAGAATACCTGAGCGTGTGGATTTAAAGACGATATCGCAGTGAAAAGTAGTAATTAGTAAGTAAAAGAACAATCATGACGAGGACTAGCATAAAATCGAGATTACAAGCAGAAGTTTACCGGTTATTGGCTTCCTCGCCGACTCCTCACACGTTGGGCAAGGCGGTGCATCTCTTTTGCAGATGCCTCATTTGCCCATGCGACTTGGGGGTCGAATGCCAGGACTCTTGCGCTGAATGTGTGCTTGCCTGATGCGCGGATGAATCCTTCGTCATCAGGTGAAGAGTGACACCCCTTCCCACGAGAGAGCGGAAATGCCGGCACTCCACGTGTAGCCTCTTCTGCTGGCAGGGTTGTTGGCGTGGCGACTGGTACAGAATGTTGTCTATTCGCAATGTTGTCTATTCGGGTTTCGTTATTGGTTCACACCAGACCACCAGAGATACCAGTTTATTAGAGTCGGTAAAGCATATATCTCACGGGACGAGGACAGAATTATTAGACATCAACATTAGGGAATGGATTCGACTTCTCATTAGGGCAAGGGTTCGACTACTGCCTAGATTATCGAAAGTTTGGTTATATAAGGCTGTGTTTACATGAAGCGTTTCAACCCGGGTTGAGTTCGACCCGGGTCAGATTTCAACCCGCCATGTGCACAAAGTGAATGGCGCGTTTACATGACGCATTGCGCTTGACCCGGGTTGAAATTTCGCCCCGGGTTGATTTCAACCCTCCCCCCAAGGGGAGGGTTGAAATCAACCCGGGTCAACAAAATCGTACAAATGTAGGTTTGCAGTAGGGCAAACCGTAGTTATCGCCGTGGACCGAGCAAGCCGGCCACGCGGCCGAGGCGGCGCAGCAACCAGCGGGGCTGTACGCACAGCCGCCCTGGCTGCCCCTTTCAGCATGGGGCGATCGCACGCGGGACCAAGGAGGTTGAGGGCACTCTTGTCTCCTGCTTGTTGGCACAATAGCAACTCTTTGCCCTTGCGCTCTTTGAGGTTTTTTTTTTTGAGGTTTTCGTTTCATCATGGAGCTCTCACAGACTCAGCTGGCCGTCATCAGGGAGGCAACGGCCTCCGCAGTTTCTGCTGCTTTAGCTCAGCTCGCGCCAACTTCGCAGGAGCAGCACACTGCAGCGGACCCCACACCAAGGGTGGAGGACCAGGCCGCGACGAGTGTTCAAGGTATGTTTCCTGTGGCGCCCAGGCTGCCCTCTTGTGTGGCCCACGTGTCAGTGGACATCATGCGCAAGATTAAAAGCGTTGAGTATGTTGACCTGGCTTCGGTCCTGCCCAGTCGTGCCGTCTCGTCTGAACCTCCTGCCAAGCGTATTCGCCTGGACGAGAGCGCAGATTCGGCTGTATTCATTTCCACAGTGTCCACACCACGGAGGAAGATCGAGACACTGGCGGACTGGACCGAGGCCTGGTCGATATTTAGTATCATTGCCTGTGACGGCGCTCCTGGTCCTTGCAGTGGCCTCCTGGAACACCAGCTCAGAATTATCCAGGCCGCGCAAAAATACCGCTTTGCTGCGGTCCAGGAGTACGACGTGCTCTTGCGCCAGGTGATGGCAAAGGACCACACCCTCAGCATAGGAGATATGCACACCGAGCTATATACCCAGTGCTTTACCGGGCAGGCACTGAGTTTTTGCAGCAAATGCAAGAGGCCTGGCCACTCTGCCGCGTCATGCCTGGCGAAGGCATCTCCGCAAGCGCCTTTTCGTGCCCCCGGCGGCAATGCAGTGCCGAAACCTGTGTGCAAGCAGTACAACAAGGGCAGCTGCACCTTCGCCAACTGCTCGTATTTGCACCGCTGCACCTTCTGCCAAGGGGCTCACAAGGCCATCGAGTGTCCCTCACGCAGCTCTGCCTAATCTGCCCAGCCTGCCCGATTCCTCGTCGCCACCGAGTAGTAAGTCATGTCTCACATCTGTTTTCACCCCTGTAAATGTTTTGGCTTTAGAAGCTGAACTAGCTGGCCACCCTGATCGTGCTCTTGTTGATACTATTTTGTCTGATTTACGCGACGGCTGTCGTGTTGGGTTCTCCGGTAACCGCTCTGCCTCAATTGTTTCGAATAGCCTTGCTTCTGCCTCGGCAAACCCCAATATTGTGGACGCTTATCTAGAAAAGGAATGCAAGCTGAATCACACCAGTGGCCCATTTGACACCCCTCCTTTTGTCCCCCTGCGCACCTCTGGCATGGGCGTAGTGCCCAAGAAGGATGGCAGTCACCGATTGATTATGCATTTATCTGCCCCGGCGGGGAATAGTGTTAACGATTTTATTGATCGCGAAGCCGTTTCCTTTTCCATGATTTCCATTGACACTGTTTGTGACCATGTTAGGCGAATGGGCCGCGGTGCCCTTCTTTGCAAGGTTGACTTGCGGCATGCGTTTCGCATAATTCCTGTCCATCCAGAGGATCGCCCATTGCTAGGTATGTGCTGGCGTGGCAAATTTTACTTTGATCTGGTATTACCGTTTGGCTTACGTTCTTCCCCATTCATATTCAATCGCTTTGCCGACGCACTTGCTTGGATCTTACGTAAAAATTACTCTGTCGACAATCTGGAGCACTACCTAGATGATTTTATTAATGTATCTCCCCCGGCCTCTTTTATTCCATCGTCTACCGCTGCGGTGCACATGGCAACCATTTTGCAAGTGTTCGACAACTTGGGCATTCCAGTGGCGGAAGGCGCAGACAAAGTGGCAGGTCCCAATACCACGTTGACAGTGCTCGGCTTGGAGATCGACACCATTGCCATGGAGATGCGTCTCCCAGCACCCAAACTTCAGGAACTGCGGCACCGGCTTGCTAACTGGAGTATCACGCAGCATTGCTCAAAGCAGGAACTGCTATCTCTCATTGGACTCCTGGCATTCGCGGCAAAGGTGGTCCCGGCCGGCAGGACATTCTTGCGCAGGCTGATCGATCTCAGCTCCTCGGCAACCGCTTTGCAGGACACCATAGCGCTGACAGCAACTGCACAGGAAGACATTCGCTGGTGGCAGGAAATGCTCCCACTCTGGAATGGCAAAGCTCTGATCAGAGACCATTATTGGTGCAAAGCGCCGGACATGGAACTGTTCACCGATGCGTCAGGTGCAGGCTTCGGCGGCTTCTTCCAAGGTGAATGGTTCAGCAGCTCTTGGGAAGCCTTTCCCGGACAGGCGGCTTCAGCAGCAATTATCTGGCGTGAGATGGTCCCGGTCGCCATGGCATGCGCCCTGTGGGGACACAGGTGGTCGGGCAAGAAGATTCTGCTCCACTGCGATAACAAGGCAGTGGTGCAGGCATGGAAAACTGGCTCTTGTAAGCACTCTGGCGTTGTCGAGCTCATTCGGAAGGCCCTGCGCATTTCCGCTCTGAACAACTTCATTCTGCTCATAACTCACATTGCGGGTGCGGACAACACAATTGCCGATGCCCTTTCCAGAAATCAGCTGTCACGATTCCGCTCATTGGCCCCAGAAGCAGAGAGTCTGCCCTGTAATCTACCGGAGATTTTGTGAGGACTCGCTATCTCCTTTCCCCGCGGCGGGAGGAGCAGCAGTGCCAACATTGTTCGTGTTTGTTTGTTCCCCTCTCCCTCGTCTCAACCTTCTCATTTTCCTCACGATTATGCATGCATGGCTCTGCTGGCTTATGGTATGCCTGCTTATTAGCTACATGTTTGTCTTGTTTTCTTTATGGCTATCTCTGTCGTGGCGGCAGCGCATTGGGTATCGGCTTGGACGTTAGATTCACAATTCAAGTAAACTCGTAAGATTACTTCGAAACACATAGCAGAATTGTTGGCGCTTTATCTATGTCTGGGTCTCAGCGAGACAGCGGCGTGTGCGTGCGATGTTGGCTCAGCGAGCATACGGCTCCCGGGTTTTAGATTCCCCTAATGCAGGGCCCCAGCGGGGTAGCGCCACATGACACACAGGCCTCAGCGAGGCTTGGAGGGGCAATTATAAGCGGAGCATATTGGGCTTAATTAACGCAGAGGCCCCAGCGGGGCAGCGCCACATGACACACAGGCCTCCGCGAGGCTTGGGCTTGCAATTATTAGCAGAGCATATTGGGCGAGTACCAGCATTGTTGTTACTGTGGCTCGGATGTCCCAGCGGGATGTCGTGCGCATAGAAATAGGCCGGTGTCCCTGCGGGACGGCAGAGCAAGGCAGCTGGCTCCTTGCATGGCAGATCGCAATATCACACTAGAGTCATGCAAATTTCATGCTTGGGTTCACGATGCAGAACTGCACCCCAGGCACTGGCATTGCGCGCCAGTAACATCATGGGGCCGAACGCGGTCAGGGTTACAATATGCCACCTACCATATTTTGGGAGGCGCCTAAGCTAGGGCCATTTGCCCAGCGCATGCACGCTCTTGCTTGCGGTCAAGCTGACCAATGTGTGATCTTCTGTCTTTCCTTTGCGGTGGCTGCTTTGCACAGGAAATGAGCGGGCGCTTCAGCTAACGCAAAATGCCAATAGTCTGGTAGCCCTGTCGGTGGCTCCGAGTACGCGCAAGACCTATCAACCTGGCATTAAGGCGTATACCAAATTCGCATCTGCAGCGGGATTTAATCCACTACATCCTGGCAATGAAGACATTGTCCGGTTCATTACATCACTGTCGCAGACCGTGTCAGCAGCAACTATCAAGGTGTACCTGGCTGCAACAAGGTATTACCTACTGTCTCATGGCTCATCCACAGAGAGACTGCGCTCCCAGCGCCTCACGGCCGTCCTGAAGGGCGTTGAGCGGAAGCATTTCGACACACGTCAGGCAGCTCCACTGAGCCAAGCAAGCCGGCAACGCCCGGCGGTTAGCACATCAGATATGCTGCGGCTTAAGGAACATTTGAGCACATCGACTCACCCCGCAGGGGATAAGACCATGATTTGGGCCGCCGTAGCGACGGCGTTCAACGGCTTGCTACGCGTCAGCGAGTACGCCTCTACCTCAGCCTCCAGCACCCCAAGCGTCAGCACCTTGACAGTAGCTCAAGTCCGGGCCTCCGACACCAGAGTGGTGATTGAGCTGGGCCCCACCAAGACAGCGCAGTTTGGCGGCGGCGGCACAATACTACTACACCCGAACGCCAACAAGGATCTGTGCCCAGTAACCGCCATACAGGATTACCGGCGCAAACGGAAATGGCCGAATGCGCGGGCCCCTTTCTTCATCTACAACAGCGGCAGACAACTCAGCCAGAAGGACATCAACTTCTACCTGAAGAGGGCATTAGGACCCGGAGTTAGCAGTCACTCCCTGCGTAAAGGGGGTGCCACGGAGCTGGCTTCGCGCAGCGCCCCAGAGTGGCAGCTGCAGGCCGCCGGACGATGGCGTAGCTCAGCGTACAAGCAGTACATCCACACAACGGCGGGCTTGCCTTCTCTCTAGCAGGCGGGGTTGCGGGCCTTTCTACCCAAGCTGCCCTGGGCAGGGTACTTTTGGAGGAGCAGCAATTACCTCGTGATATGCACATTTGCCAATGATGTCTATCCGCCTGTCACACGGTTGTGGCAGGCGTTAAAATACAAGCGCCCAAACCCCAAACAGTACTGTGCCTGGATATGTGTGTGGCTCGGGAGATGGGCGATAAATGTAGGTTTGCAGTAGGGCAAACCGTAGTTATCGCCGTGGACCGAGCAAGCCGGCCACGCGGCCGAGGCGGCGCAGCAACCAGCGGGGCTGTACGCACAGCCGCCCTGGCTGCCCCTTTCAGCATGGGGCGATCGCACGCGGGACCAAGGAGGTTGAGGGCACTCTTGTCTCCTGCTTGTTGGCACAATAGCAACTCTTTGCCCTTGCGCTCTTTGAGGTTTTTTTTTTTTTTGAGCAGCAATTACCTCGTGATATGCACATTTGCCAATGATGTCTATCCGCCTGTCACACGGTTGTGGCAGGCGTTAAAATACAAGCGCCCAAACCCCAAACAGTACTGTGCCTGGATATGTGTGTGGCTCGGGAGATGGGCGATAAACGTACTTCTGTGCGTATCTCGCGCCAGGTTTGAACGGCACTGCAGATGCAAATTTCGCGCGAACGGATTCACGTGACCATACAGGACTGTAGAAGTGGACTTTTGGCGGCATATCAGTATTTGACCCGGGTCAACTGTCTTCATGTAAACGCTCACCTCTTTTGTTTGTCGTACAGACTTTCAACCCGGGCTGAACTCGACCCGGGTTGAAATTTCTCATGTAAACACAGCCTTAGAGTGAACTAGAATAGAATGTACGGTGTAATGCATGAGCGCGCCCATTTAGCTGGGCGCGCATATTATGTGTATAGCCCGACTATGTACACTATAAAGGGATGTAATTAGATCAAATGTACGGTGGTTTTTATGTGCAGGGGCAGAAGGAGGGAAAACGGGCTACAAATGTGGATGGTACTAATTATTGCATGCAGGGGCAGCGGGGAAATGGGTCAAATATGGTTATGAAGTGTGTACGTACGAACTACTGCATGCAGGGCTAGGGGTAGGGGGTAATGGAGTGCGTATGAACTACTGCATGCAGGGGTGGAGTGTGTATGAACTACTGCATGCAGGGGTAGGGGGTAATGGAGTGCGTATGAACTACTGCATGCAGGGGTAGGGGGTATTGGAGTGTGTATGAACCATGCCGGGGTCGAGATCCAAATATAGGATGCGTATAACATTACCTCCCCCCGTGGGGAACAAAAATCGTGTCCCCACGATCTAGGAAAAAAAATTGATAATACTAAGAATTAGGCAGGAATTGTAACAAGCACACATATACGTACTTATCCCATGGTACGGTACTATAGGCCTGTTTCAGCCAATCAGGAGCCTTGCTGACCGGGAAATAATAGCCAATACAATCCCGCGCGGGATGATATTCATTATTAACTGGGTTCACTTTTACCGTACCTACTACGGTGCACCCTGCAATTGGCATGCCCCCACCCCCTCTCGATTCGATGCAATGCATCTTGCCACTGGAGCCTTTCGATCAGAACCCAGCGACAAAATGCACTACACAGAACCGTGAGAGGGTGGGAGCATGCCAATGCAGAGTGCACCGTCGGTACAGTAAAAGTGAACGGAGAGAACTTACCTCCGCGACTATGTCCAAAACCAGATTCCACACAAACAAACAACGAACTCCAATCACTATTCAACTCAACACTACGACACAAAGGAGACTTCGAAGTGCATCTGTTCTCATTCACTCTTTGTAAACTCGAAAACTACACAAAGTATCAACATCCGAGTGAAAATTACTAATTGCAAGGAGAGATACCGTAACAACTCGAACAGTACAAGACGTGAAAGTGAGAGGAAAAATCTTGTACAGAATATTCAACAGTGTGAAAGAAGAAGAGCTCAGCAATCCATGTGTGATGTAGATAAGATATGGATGCAAGATGCGACCCGCAGTGATTATCATGACATTGTATCCAGTACGATTACCACAAGAACAATCTAAAACGTAGATGCAGCTACAAATCCAGTATGCCTATAATATAACAGGATCAACGTTCTTCTGATTGCATAGTGTCCGAGAGTGATACAACGAAGAGTCTTGATACAACGAAATGCACTTTACTCACTGGTGCCAATGTCCGACGATATGTACAATGTGGTTACTGCCTGCACGGACAGTGTTCAGCAAGGATCCCAAACCGTTGAAAGTTCCACGCCGATCCAATGACAAGGAAGTCAGCACCAGCCTCCATAATGACGTGGTATCTCGCCGTGACTTGAAGTATGGCCCTTACTTTGAACGAAATGACTATGTATCATAACAGTGCAATCTTCGTCAATTCTCTAGTCCAACTACTAAAATGCAACTTGTCTCCCGAGCTCCATCGCTCTCAAACCTTGACTGGATTGAAAAGAAAGGCAGCATCTTGTTTTTGGTATAGCTGTACCTTGGTAACTGTATTCAGAACGCAGTTGCGTCGATCCCCAAAATGCGTAGATGTACCTGGGATAAGTAGGATATTGACCCGCGTACTCGGGTGTTACCGTACCCTCATATCATCCCTCCTGCTACGCAGTCGGGATGATATTCGGGAGGTAACACCCTCGTACTTGGGTAATATCCTATACATGTAAACCACTACGCACATACGAGTCCGACATGCACGCATTCCGCAGACACCCACATGTACAAACAGAACACGTGTAAGGCAAGTGAATGATAGAAGGAGATGGAGAGAGAAGAAAGAGGGAACCAAAAGAAGAGTAGGTGCAAGCAGAGAAGATCAGGAGCCGCGCATGTTGTGGTTCTGGAAGTGGAGTAACTCCGTTGGGGAAGTTCCTGCTGCTAGTCGGAGTTGCAACGGAAGTAGAACTGGGGATGCAACATCCTGAGGTAAGCTCAACTCAGAACGAACACAAAACAAAACACAACCACAAGCACACAACAAGAATGCAAAGCTGTTGGGGGAAGCTCAACAGCGAGGACGAACACTCAGCTGGAGGCGTGGAAACAAATGGGCCAAAGGTGAGGGAAAGAAGCTAGGGGAGTGATGATTCCTCTCACTTGGGAAGGGGCTAAACTCCACAGCGAGGACGAACACTCAGCTGGAGATGACAAGCAAAGGGGCTTAAGGCCATCATTTTTTATATCTATGTTTCGCGTCAGGTCAACTTCCAGAATCGTATGCGAGAGGTGGAAAGAAATAAAAAGTTGCAAAATAATAAAAAAAGGATCATCAGAGGTGAATAGAACTGTACATACCACATAACCTATTGACTATTGTCAATAGCTCGTGCATGGTGTACATTCGAAAGAAAAATCGTACATCGAAGCACAAAATCTGGGTTATCAGCAAGAGGAAATACTGTAATTTCACAAATTTTCGGTGTACTTTATTTTCGGTACTTTCGGTGCATCTGTTTCATACCTAAAGTTTCAATACACCGAACAAACACTAACACACATAATCCAATAGGGAACTGCTTCTCTGTACCGAAAATTTCTGTTCACCTAACCAAGCCTTTTGCTTTCATACCGAAAATGTTGAGCACCGAAAATTTCTGAAATTAGAGTATTCACTTTGGACAGAGAAGGCAACCGTTGGTGCCCATGCTTCGCTGGATTATTGTACTCAGCCTTAAGCAGCGGTGCAAAGAGCTCCGAAACGACGCATCCTCTCAGCTTGAGGCGATCGATGCGGTCTGGTGTAAGCTCAAAGAATTCTGCTCGCAGATGCAGAACAAACGATCTACCAACGCTGGCCTCGAGGCCAATTCTGAATCCCAGCTTCGCCGTATGCAACCAGTCCACACTGATGACTCGCACGATCGTACACTCACTGTGCATGTTCGATTATTTTATTTTTTTCCGGAAAAAATCAAAACGTATGCGTGCGGACGACGCGAAACATAGATATAAAAAATGATGGCCTAATGAAATGATAGTTGGAAGGGTAAATAGAGGGAACTTTGGAAGTGGGGAAATCGCAAAGTCTGAATGAATGAAAAAAAATATATATACCGTGACAGTTAGAATTGATAGGGTCAGTTGGCGTGAAAATATTTAGAGGTGGAAAGAGGGATCTACACCACTCTACATAAAGACTGCTACGTCATGAAGAAAAACCAGACAGTGGAGGGAGTGTCAACGTCGACAAACATCTCGGCACAGATGGAAAGAGGGAAAGGGCGTGGAGGATTCAAAACAACTCGACACAGATGGAAAGAGGGAAAGGGCGTGGAGGATTCAAAACAACTCGACACAGATGGGAAGGGGGAATGGGCGTGGAGGATTCAAAGCATCTCGACACGGATGGAAAGGGGGAAAGGGGCGTGGAGGATTTCTAAAGCATCTCAACACGAATGGAAAGGGGGAAAGGGGCGTGGAGGATTTCTAAAGCATCTCAACACGAATGGAAAGGGGGAAAGGGCGTCGAGGATTCAAAAAGCTCTCGACATAGCAAATGTGTATGAAGAACAAAGATTACCACACAGGGAAAGTTGAGGTAGGAGGGGAGAAAAGGCACATTCCATCTCAAGCATTCAAACATGTCTTCCTGTGCGTTTCTCCAAACGAATAGGCATAAAACGGTCAATGGGGAAGCGTCTGCAGTATAGTAACAACAAGAGTTACTAAACACAAAGCTTGTGTCAGAGAGGATACAACTTCAGACGAACAAATTAATGAGTCTGAAGAGGCCAGTCACACAGTCAAGGCTTATTCTCCGGTGGTCTAGTGCCATGAAAAACCAGCTCCAAACACTTGACAGTATGGTCAGAATGTATATTGTCACACAAGGGGGCACTGGGGTGATAATTATTCTCAGGCGGTCTAGTGCCATGGAAAAGTCTGTCTGCAGCACCAACATTTCCCACAGCAATCAGTGCAAAAGGGGTGCAGTCATTAAAATCTGGGGGTCTTGTACCGTGGAAGTGTACTTCCGAGTTACTAATTACACTATCCGGGTTCTCATTACGGGGAGAAAATGTTCTCTCTTCGGAGGATACGGGGGCAAATGTTGATGGGTTTGCCGCTCCTTCCACAGGGGAACCTGTGGGCGGAAAATCGTCCAACTTAGCGACTGAAAAAGATTCCATTCCATGCCAAGTGGCGATGGGATGATGCTCACGCAAAACTATCGGGGAATCTGACGGATTTAGTAAACGAACAGGAACTTCGCCGGCAACACTCGACTTGACCAAGGTAGAACCTACTAGTACAGAACTGCAATTAGGGGAGGGCATTCTCTCAACCAAGCCAGTCGAGTAAGAACATGCAATTCTGCCTATGGCAATTACTTCTGAACGAGCTGGGATGCTCACAAGCTCATTCAAAATTACATCGCTACCTTGAACTGGAGACTGTGGCTCCACAGTTCTGCGGGGGAAATGCACCAGCTCATGCAAAGTGTCAGCAGTGTCCTGAACTGGAGACTGCGGCTCTACAGTTCTACGGGGGATGTACGGTAC